CCCTCCCTGCCTCGGCCCCACTGTCCTTGGCTCCACCCTCCCTGCCTCGGCCCCACTGTCCTTGGCTCCGCCCTCCCTGCCTCGGCCCCACCCCATTCTGGCTCCGCCCTCCTCCCTGGTGCAGGTCACGCGCACCTCCTGCTCTCAGCATGGCACTGCCACACCTCGCCCTCCTGGCTGGCCTTCTGGTGGGAGTCGCCAGCAAGTCCATGGAGAGCATGGTAGGTGCCCTTGTCACGTGTCCATGTGGCTTACACCAGGAAATCAAGCCAGAGCCTCTGTGGAGGGCAGTGGGCCTGTCCCCTAGAGGGGTCTAACCCTTCTTGGTTTAGAAGTTGCTGATGTCCCAGTCCCAGAGGTGCTGACCGGGTCCCCTGTTGGGGTCAGAGGGGAGCCCTGAGCTGCCTGCAAGGTGAGCGCCTGCTCAGGAATGGCTGGTTCAGGTGGGGCCCCCATGGTGAGGCGTCCCGGCCCCACTGGGAGCAGCTCAGCCAGCGGCAATGGCACAGCACGCCCCGAGTTGCTATCGGAGCGAGGATGGAGGATGCAGGCTCCAGACTCCAAGGCAGAGTGGGTGGGGGGTGAGGCCCCCTTGCTGACCTGGCTGGAGCAATTGAGGGGCTGCACTTGGGCCCCTCCCTGGCAGTGTGGATTCTCCCCCACACTCCTCAGTCACCCCGGGTGCCCTCACTGTTCACTGCACTCACATCACGAGAAATAGCCCAGCTATGGTCGACACACGAACTGAGGGCCCCCCAGGCCTGTCCGGCCTGCCTGTGGTCAGGGAATGGGCCCTTGAACACACTGTACACACCAGTACCCAGCACACCTGGGCGTCAGTTCGTCCCTGAAACACCAGCCAGGCCCGGGCACTTCCTCTGTGGGGCCAAGCTGGAAACTGCTGATGGAGAGGCATCCAGAGAACTGCCCCGAACGTTGGGGGCGCTGCTGTGGCCTGTGGGTGCTGCCTTGTGGTGTGAGGTCTTTGGTCTGGGCATGGCGCACCTCCCAGGTCTGGTTTACTCTGTCTCAGGCCCTGGTTTTCCCTGGGGATGGCCTACATTGGGTCCCGCAGGGACGTCCGGTGTGGCCGTGGGTCCCCGCCTCACTCCCAGGCCCACAGGGGACAGAGGGCCACCTCATGCTGACTCCAGAAGGGACTGGAACTGTGGGCATCACGAGTGCTCACACGGCACCCTCAGCTGCTGCTGCTCCAGCATGAGCCTGCCCGGCGGGCATCCTGGAGTTCACTGCTGTGTCCCCTCCAGGCCCAGCTGCCCGAGTGCTGCGTGGACGTGGTGGGCGTCAACACCAGCTGTCCAGGCGCAAGCCTGTGTGGCCCAGGTAAGCCGCTTTGTCCCTAGCAGATTCCAGACTGGCCCCTGAGCCACGGGCGTGTGTGTGCCCAGGTTCCTCCCTTTGTGACGAGGACAGTGCTCACAGGCGCTGCAGGGCCAGAGGGGTGGACAGGGTGGTGAGGGCTGTGGAGCTTGGGGAAGGACACCTGAGTCTCCCGGGCAGGCAGCCCTGAGAGGAGGCTGACCCTGCAGAGGGCGGGAGCAGAAGGTGAACTGAGCTCAGAAAGGTGCTGGGTGAAGGGCCTGGGGAAGCGGCCCATGACATCAGCCATTCTCACAGGGAGTCCTGGCTCCAGGGGCCTCTGGCAAAGCCCAAGACAGTTTTGGCTGTCTTTCCTTGGGCGGAGGTGCTGCTGGCACCTGGTGGGTGGAGCCAGGGATGCCCATCAACAGGACGCCACCCCCAGAGGACACCGGGCCTGTGTCATTGTGCCACGGGCAGGCCCCGTTCGTGGGAGGTTCTGGGAGGCTGTGGAAGGAACTCTCTGGTGGCAGTGAGCGGAGCAGCCAGGGGAGGGGAGGATGGAGTGAGAAGCTGCGAGGGCCACTCCTTGGCAGCCCCTGGGGGTGGTCTCCTGGTGGGGCTGTGGTGGACTGGGGGCTGAGATGCCCAGGCTGTCCCTCCAAGGGCCTTGGCACCCCCATCCTGAGGCCCAGCCTTCCTGGGATGGAAGAACCCAGAGGAGCTGCTCCTAGGGACCCAGGGGCCTCGGGAGGAGGGCGTGGCCAAGATGGAGGGTGCAGCAGTCAGTGAGGCTGGGCCTGGGGGTCTGAGGCTGGGCCTGGGGGTCCGAGGCTGGTGTGGGGGTCTGAGGCTGAGCGTGGGGGCTGGGAAGGCCGCAGGAAGGCAGTGATGACATCTGCGGTGTGAGCAGGGAAGAGGAAGAGGGCCCTGCTCTGAGGGAGAATAGAGGGGCTGGGAGGAATCTGAGCACCTTGGAGCCCCTCATCCTCTGGCGGGGAAGCTGTGGCAGCTAGAGTGCTGGGACCGTGGCATCTCCTGGGGGGTTCTGTACCCCAGGCACCATGTGGGTGCAGGCAGTTATGCAGCGGTCACGGTGCCCGTGGAGGGGCCAGGCCAGGGGTCGTGAGGTCCAAGAGCCGAAGTGGCCCCATGCACGGGCACAGGGTGGGAGCTGTCAGGTCATGCACGGGCACAGGGTGGGAGCTGTCAGGTGCGTGTGGGGAGGTGCCAGGCTTGTGGTGTTGGATGTGCTTCTCCTGTGTGCGGCCCAGCCGGTGGCTGCTCTCAGGGAAGCTTGGTCACCTCCGCTGGGGGAGGCTTTGGGCACTTCTGCGGACACAGCCACGCTGCCACGCTGCTGTCGGGCTCCCTGCCGTGGCCCCCATTCCTTGGCCTTCCGGGGCAGAGGCTCTCAAGTAGACAGAGGGAGCCTCCCTGAGGTCAGCACGAGCCCTGTTCCAGGAGCCGTCCCCAGTGCAGGGAGAGCGCGGGTCTCAGGCCCACTCTCCACTGCGGTCTCTGTGTGGCCGTGGCCTATTTGTGTTCGGCTTAAACACCAGCAAAATCCATGCTGACGGGCGAAGGCATGTGGTCCACCCGTGGCCAGTGCTGGCAGCCACACCACAGTCAGTATCCAGCGTGTGTCTGCTCAGCTCAGGGCTGAATGTTAGAGATGTTTAGAAACTCAGGGGGTTAGGGTTAGGGTTAGGGGTGCCCTGGCTGGTGGGCAGGACGGGCTGTCCGTGAAGGGAGGGGTATGGCTTTGGGGGCAGCATTGGCCTGGGATAGAAATGAGGCCTGGTTCTCCCGGATTCCCCAAGAGAGACCTGGGGAGGGTGCAAGGGGGTGGGGGGTGGCAGGTGGACCAAGGGTCAGGGTCAGCTTGGGGTAGGAGGCCGTGCTGCTGGGGGTGGGCCTGTCCCGCCTGGGCTGCATGAGGGAACACAGCACACAAGGCAGCAGCTCCAGGCACTGCAGGTGGGGGTCCTGGGGCAGGCTGTGGGGGGTCCTGTGGGAGGTCATGGGGTGGGGGCTGCAGGTGGGGTCCTGGGGAGGCCGTGGGGCAGGGGCTGCAGGTGGGGGTCCTGGGGAGGCCGTGGGGCAGGGGCTGCAGGTGGGGGTCCTGGGGAGGCCATGGGGGGTCCTGGGGGAGTCTGGGGGGGGTTCCCTGGGGAGGCCGTGGGGCAGGGGCTGCAGGTGGGGGTCCTGGGGAGGCCATGGGGGGTCCTGGGGGAGTCTGGGGGGTTCCTGGGGAGGCCGTGGGGCAGGGGCTGCAGGTGGGGGTCCTGGGGAGGCCATGGGGGGTCCTGGGGGAGTCTGGGGGGTTCGTGGGGAGGCCGTGGGGCAGGGGCTGCAGGTGGGGGTCCTGGGGAGGCCATGGGGGGTCCTGGGGGAGTCTGGGGGGGTTCCTCCTGGGGAGGCCGTGGGGCAGGGGCTGCAGGTGGGGGTCCTGGGGAGGCTGTGGGGCCGGGACTGGGCGTTGGTGGAAGCTGGCCTCCGCCCTCCAGTCCTGCGGAGCACAGCCCCCACACAGCCCTGTTCATTGTGGACACTGCCGCCCAGTGCTCTCGGGAGGGTGCAGCGCAGTGTTCGGGTCAGTGTCCCAGGGCCCAGCCATGCTTGTTGGGGGTGTCCTCACCTGCAGCCCCAGCCCGCCGTGCACCTCCAGAGCACATCAGTGTTTCAGATGAAAGTTACAGAATCATTCCCGGGAGACCGAGCTGCCGGGATTCTGCTTTGGCTGAGATGCCGGTACTCTGCCCTGCGCAGGCTGCTACAGGCGCTGGAACGCGGATGGGAGCACCAGCTGCGTCCGCTGTGGGAACGGAACCCTCCCGGCCTACAACGGCTCGGAGTGTCGAAGCTGTACGTCTGCCCACCTGTTCCTGGGTCCCTTCTTGCAGCAGGGCCACAGCTCCAGCTTGGGGAGAAACCTGGGGAGGTGCTGTCGGTGTCCCCACCTTGCCTCAGAGCCGCTGTGCGCTGGGGGAATAGCCCTGGGAGCCCCGCCTTCCTGCGTCCTGTGGCCCATCTGGGACAGCTCTGGTGAGGGCTGCCCACCCCGACAGCCCCTCACTTTCACATTTCTGGCCTGAGATTCACTTCAGGGTGTGCATGGGGGTCCCCTGTGGGCTCCGTGCACGCAGCCTTCCCACAACTCCGCTCTCCCGCAGTCGCTGGCCGGGGTGCACCGTTCCCCATGAACAGAAGCTCAGGGACCCCCGGGCGGCCGCATCCTGGTAAGTCTCTGCCGGGGTCCTGGAGGCGGGGGGCTGTCGGAGCCACCGCCAGTGCAGACCCTGACCACTGACGCGGCCACCGCAGGGTCGGCCTGCATTGCCAAACTGGACCAGAGGGGTCTGACAGCCCCAGGGGCTGGGGTCAGCTGGCGTGGGGGTGTGTTGGGGATGTCACACGTGGAGCATGCTGTCCACGTCTGTAAAGGGCCGTAGTTAGGGGAGGCCCTTACGGCCACACCACAGGCTTTCAGTTCCCACGGCTCATGGCCACACTGCTGTCCACGTCTGTAAAGGGCCGTAGTTAGGGGAGGCCCTTATGGCCACACCACAGGCTCTCAGTTCACATGGCTCGTGGCCACACCGTTCACACCCCTCACGGCCACACAACACGCTGTCAGGTTCACACACCCACACAACACGCTCTCAGGTTCATACACCCACACAACACGCTCTCAGGTTCATACTCACGGCTTGGTCCTGCCTCTGCCTCACCCAAGATCACCCCGGCCTGCGGCCACAGTCGCAGGAACCAGGAGGGGCAGGTGCTCTGAGGTAGCCAAGCCTAGCACCTCTTCCTGAGACGTGGGTGTGGCTGGGCCACGGGTCGTGGTGCCCACCCAGGCAGTTGCAGACCCTCATCCTTCAGCAGAAGACATGCTGGACCTGGGGCCGGGGCAGAGGGCTGTGTCTGAGAGGGCAAAACTCTCACGTCTTTAGAACATGGACCGGGGCCTGGAGCTGGCCTGGGCCCATTGCTGACCTGAGTGGCAGTGTTTTCGGGTAGGGTTGGCCTAGATGGGCTCTTGGCCTCTGTGGCTCCCTGCCGGGGCGGGAAGAAGCAAGACCGCCGAGCCTGGCAAATGTGCCTGTGTCTCGGGTTGGAAAGTCCCCTCCCCAGCACCATCACCAGCTGTCCCGAGCCCTGGGCCAGCAGCCCCGCCCGTCCTGGCCCAGGCAGGTGGAGACAAGTGGGGAGCAGGGGCACCTGCTGCCAGCTCAAGGCTCTGCACCACGCGGGGGCCCAGGACCTGTGCTGGGCCCCAAGGAAGGAGCAAGCCTGGGAACCCTGGCTTTCGGGGCAACTGGAATCGGAGAGGCGTTTCCGCAGAGCCTGGCCGGGGCGGCCCCTGTAATGTGCCCAACGTCCGAACTCCTGCAAGAAGCTGAGGCCAGGGAGGTCATAACTTTCCCAGACCCCATGGCCAGATGCCCAGGCGTGGCAGAGCCTGCAGGGACCACCCAAGTCCGCGTGTAGGGCCCTCAGCCCCCACAGCCCGTCCCGTGAGGCTCAGGCATGTTCGGGGAGCAGGAGCCTGCCGTGTGCAGTGGCCGCGGGGGCCAGTGAGGGGCCGGGGCGGCATCCCGCTCAGCAGCGCAGCTGTGTGTGTTTGTAGGGGCTTCCCACGTGGCCGCCTCCCTCTTCCTGGGAACCTTCTTCATCAGCTCCGGCCTCATCCTCTCCGTAGCTGGGTTCTTCTACCTCAAGCGCTCCAGTAAACTCCCCAGGGTCTTCTACCGAAGAAACAAAGGTATCTCATGGAGCGGTGCACGTCCCATGTCCAACATCCCACGTCCCACGTCCCACGGGAGGGTGCAAGGTGGGCAGGGCCGGCCGTGGGGATGGGCCTGGGACTGAGAGAGGCCGGGAGGATGCAGGGCCTGTCACGGGGCTTTTGGGTCCCGTTGTGGGAACAGCAGTCACTTCCCAGAAGCACCCTTGTGTGGATTTGAGGGGTCCCTCCATGAAGGCATGGACTCTGCTCAAAGCACTGGGGGCCTTCCTCAGGGCTCGGTGCCTCTGCTGGAGCCCTGTTCCGGCACCACGAGGGGAGGGGAGCAGGGCCCGGTGGCTCTCGGCAGCTTGGACGTGTGGGCTTCTCTGACAGCCACAGCCCTTCCCTCCCCTCTCCTGGAGTCAGGGCTGGCCAGGCCAGTGCAGGGCCCACACCCCAGCCTACGCCATGCCTACCAGGGTCACCCCTGGCCTGGACACGACCCCTCCCACCGGAGAGGCAGGGTTGTGACTGCAGCGCCCTCAGGCGGGGGCGGGCTCTGAGCAGGGTCCCTGGCACCTGCCCTCATTGTCCCTGCCAGGAAGGGTCCAGTCAGCGGGTCGGACCCCGAGGTGAGCACGTGGCCATACTGTCGTGGCCAGAGCTGGGGCCTCCTCCAGGCCCCTAGGCTGCCCTGCTGGCTACCGTGAGACCCGTGGCCACCCCTCTCGGCCAGCGCTGGTTGCCTTCGTGGGCTGTTGTGTCTCCTGGGTCCTGGGAGTTGGACGCTAGGGCCTCTGCCACTCTTGGGTTCCCAGGGCGCAGCCTCCAGTCAGGGGCTGCCCGTAGCTGTGCACCGAGAGACCCCCCACATCCCGGCCTGCTCAGCATCTCTGCCTACGGGCACCCTGGGGCAGGGGCGGCTCAGGGCTTGGAACGCCCTGGTTGCCATGGGACAAGGAAAAGCCAGGTTGGCCATGATGCCACGGCCCCCACCACCGTGGACACAAACGCCCATGCCCTGGGGCTGAAAGCCACCTCTGCCTGAGGCTCCTCCTGGGAAGGTGGGAGGGAGCCCTTCCCCTGGGGCCTAGAGTCTAGAGAAACACTTCTCATGAGAGTGGCTTGTCCCCTCCACTGAGGTGGGGAGGTGGGTCCGGGGAGGGGAGTCTCACCTGGGGGGCTAGGGAGGCCCCCTCACCCAAGTGCCCTGGAAGAATGTGGCAGGGTGGTCGGCCCAGCTGACGGCGCAGCAGGGAGAGGGGGTGGGACCCGCCTGACCCCTGGCCCTCACCCCAGGGGCCTCTGCTTCCCCTGACGTGACAATGGGCTGAGGCAGCCCCTGGGCTCCAGGTGACCCCGCCTTCTTCCCCGCAGCCCCGGCCCTGCAGCCTGGCGAAGCCGTAAGTAACCTGCGCCGCCCGGGCTGAGCGTCCCCGGCTGCGGGAGCCTGTGCCAGCCGCATCCTCACTCTGCCTTTCTCTCCTTTTCAAGGCTGCAATGATTCCCCCGCCACAGCCCTCAGGTAACAGCACCACGTGCGCCGTGGGGCTTCCTGTCCCTGGGCCAGACCCCAGATGCTCTGTGGGTTTGTCCCCAAACACGCCGGCTCCGCACCTCGGCCGCCCCTGCCCAGGTCCCCAGGAGACTCACCCTCGAGGCAGGGCCAGGGCCGGACTTGGCCGGCGCCCCCTGCCCACCTATGGGAAGAAAGCTGCCCAGGTGCCAGGCAGGAGGCTAAAGGCACAGTCTGTCCCAGCATAATAAATGAGTATTGACAGCAGTGACACCAAATAGATACCAGGTTCAGTCCCATAATCAATTACACAATCTTACGACATCGCTATTCTCTGTCGGTCTGCTTTAGTGTAGAGACTCAGTCTCACGGTATAGACCTATGCGTAACTAAGTGATCGCTTGTCTATTACACCAGGACAGACCGTGCCTTCAGTCTCCTGCCTGGCACCTGGACAGCTTTCTTCCCACACCCACCCTTTAATCCCTGTGACTTCCATGCCCTTTCCCGTTCTGAGACATGGGGTCTGCAGGAAAGGAGGACCCACCACAGGGCAGACCCCCACTGCCTGCCCCTCCTCCAAGTCCCAGCTCCCCCGGAGGACAGGTGCAGCCGGCCTCTGCCAGGCCCTCCTGAGCAACTGAGAGCAGCCACCCTTCAGTGACGCTGGGTCAGGCGCACCCAGGGCTCAGCCTGGTTAGGACCCATTTTATAGGCGAGGCCACAGGCACAGAGAGGGTGAGTGACCACAGCCCCGCAGCTCCAAGGCTGCCAGGGCTCAGCCGGCTGCATTCCCTTGTGCAGAGGCCTGTTATGGGGGCAGGTGACAGTGTCCTTAGGGGACAGACAGTTCCTTGATCAAGGCTGGACCTGCCCCGTCCCTAAAGCAGCCCTGCCTGCAAATGTCCAGCCGGCCTCACGGTGCCCGAGTGCCCTGTGGCTGCAGCTTCGACAAACCTTCAACCTGACAGTAGCAGAGTTCAGAACTCCAAAGCCACTGGCAGGCCGGCCATACCTCTCCGGGGGCTCCCGGGGAGGACCCTGCTGCCTCCTCAGCGCTGCCGGCTCAGGCTTCTGTGGGTATGGCCCCGCGGTCCCACGGCATCTCCTCCCCTCTCTCCGCCTCCCTCTCCGGAGGGCACTGGCCGTGCATTTAGGGCCTGCCCCGCAAACCTAGGCGATTGCACCTGAGGTCCTGATGTAACCCCGCCTGCAAACCCTTCTCATAAGGCCACATTCGAGGTTTCGGGGCCTGGTTGTCTTTTGGGGGCACCCCCAGCCGCTGAAGTGTGTGATGGTGTGGGGCCCACACCTCTGCCTTCAGGGGTAGGCTGACCTTCATCCAGGCCCCGGTGCCCAGGTGCAAATGAGAGGACGCAGCCAGGCAGGAGCTCTGAGGGTGCCTTAGGGCAGGGACATCAGGGTTCGCGCCTGGTCAGAGCCAACGGCCCCAGCTGCCAGGGCCACAGCTGCCAGGGCCACAGCCACTCCTGAGAGCCTCCGGTGAGGGCCGAGGCCTGCACTGTCCCCGCTGTCCAGGTCCCTCTGACCCCGCCTGTCTCTGACCCCGTTTCAGTACGGAAGCCGCGCTACGTCAGGCGGGAGCGGCCCCTGGACAGGGCCACGGACCCTGCTGCCTTCTCGGTGGAGGCCCGTATTAGCAACGTCTGACCCGGAACCCAAGACCGCGCCACGCGCTTGGTGGCAGGAGCCTGGCACCCGGGAGAGGCCGGCACAGCCCCGGCTCTGAACCCTCGTCTCCCAGCGACAGATGCGGAGGCCTCCTTCCCACCACAGCTGCCTGCATCCATGAGACCTCAGAGCTCTAGATCAAGGCCTTGGGGGGTCCAGGTCCCGCCAGGAGAAGCAGTGAGGCCCCAGCGCCTGCAGCCAAGATGCAGGCCTGGCTCAGGCAGCCAAAGCTGGGGTGGCCCAGGGGGCAGCCGCTGCTCTGCCTGAGAGCCAGGGGCTCTGCTGCTGTGCCCTCCAGAGCCCATGAGGGGCAGGACTCCAGCACCACTGCAGCCGGTGGCCCAAGACCCCTCTGAGGCAGTGAGGTTGGTCCTCGGGCTGTTCCAGCCGTGGCCCAGCCAGTGGGGAGGACGCAGCCTGGGAACCAGCTGCCTGAGACCAGGGCGCCTCCGGGTGCCCTCCCGCGTGGCGAAGACCCCAGGCACACAGTCACTCATTTCTGAGTTAAGCAGAAATTCATTGTGCAGAAAAGTCCTCCAGAGCTTGGTGACCCCGCTCAGACCCCGGGGCCTGGGACCCCGGGCCTAGCTGATCCTTGCCCACACAGGGCAGGCTCTGGCCGGTGGCAGTGGCTACTGAAGCCCTAGGCCAGTGCCCTCAGTGGTGCATCCAACCCCAGGGGCCCCCACAGGCCACTGCCTCGTGGACCTGCCAAGGCTGCCCTGGCACTGAGTCCCGGGGAACCCCCGGCCGCCCAGGCTCTGGCTCTGTGCGTCTCAGGCTGTGCTGGTGGCAGGTGACCCCGGGGTTCCTGGGACAAAGGCGCTCAGCAGGCTCGGGCTTGGTCATGGGTCTCAGATGCCCTGCAGTGACCAGCATGTCTGCTTTGGCGTTGGGTCCACCTCTGAGGGCGGCCTGGCCGCCAGGGCCCCATGCTTTTCCTGCGAAGTGCACCGTGGGTGCTGTCATGGTCCCCGGGACCTCGCCAGCAGGAACGTGGGGGCACGGGGCGCTGATATAAAGTCGGCCTTATGCCAGCTGTTTTCTGAGCTGCTCTCTCCCTCACCCTCGTCCCTGCCCCCAGGATCCTCTGTTCTCTAAGGGCGGGGGGGAGGAGCAAAGCCCCCCCCAGGCTGGCCCCACACACTCCGCCACCATGTGCTGGGGACGAGGAGGCAGGGCAGGGGTGAAGGGGAGTCCAGGAGCCCCCACCTGCTGCCTGGTTGGGGCCCTGAGAGCCACGAGCACAGGGTGACCCCCCACCCCTGCACATTTTCCCCCACAGATCCATTCCCCAAATGCAGCCTGTGCACTGGGACCTGTGGCCTCCAACCCCCCAGCTCAGCCCTGAGGTGGGGGAGAGCGTGGGTGTGCCGGCCGGGGCTCCAGGAGGACTGCAGTTGGGGCTATTTGGGGAGCAGGGGCCCCGGCCACCCCAAGCCCAGCACAGCAGTCGCTCCTCAGCTCTTTGAGGGGCCGCAGTGTGGGGACGTTTGCTGACAGTGATGGGCCTGGCCAGAGAGGGCCGAGCTGGGGCAGGACAGGCCGGCGAGGGGCAGAGGGCCTGGCACTAGGATGTCTGCGCTATGCCTGTCCCCATCACCGCGGCAGGAACGTGACTGCTGCAGGGCCGTGTCCCCGTCCCCAAGGACACCCGGCCCAAGGTCTGCAGCCAGGTGGCACCGGGGAACATCCGCTCTGCCCTGGGCCCAGGTGGGTCACCTGGTCCTGGGGAGAAAGGAGGACCAGCCAGCGCAAGGCCACCGAGCCCAACACTGACGGTCCCACCTGAGGCCTGGGCCACGTGTCTGTGATTCAGCCCCCAGACTCCTCACGTGGGGAAGGAGACGGACCCAGATGGGATGGAGGGAGGGTCTGTGTGACCCTGGGAACTCATTCTTGTGTTTGCACCAGGCCAGGTGTGTGGTTTGGAGGATAAAATCAGAAACAAACAGCACAGTCAGCAAGTCCAGCAGGCAGGCTCTGGAGGCCAGGCAGGGCAGACGGGCACTGCCCCAGCCCGCTCTCCAGGCAACCCCCCGCCAAGCCCTGCCTCTCTGTTCTGGGTCCCCTTCCTCTCCTCCCACCCAGTGGCCCAAACCAGAAACCCAGGGTCATGCTGCCACCTCCACACACCCTGCGCTCCACAGATCCCCTCGGCCCCACCTGCCCATTCCATCTCAATTGGCCCTGCGGGGCAGCGCGGGCCACACCCTCCTCACCAGGCACAGGGCGCCGCACCGGCTGGGCCTCCCGCCAGAGTGGACACTGAGCCGGGCTGCGGGTCGGCCCCACACGGGAGATGGGTGACTGTCAAGGGTAACACTAGGCCTGAGTCATGTCCCAGAGCCCACCCTGTCCCACCCCTGCTCCCCACACCTGGTCCTCGGGAAAGAAGTCCAGCCCCGGAGCCAACAGAGCGGCTGCACTTGAGCCAATGGCCCAGCGTGGGGTGGGGTGGGCGGGGCAGGGCCGGGGGCCCCAGAGCAGCCCCGGCCTGGAAGGCCCCTCCCCCCACCAGCCACACCGTGTTCCCAGGCCTGGCAGCACCGGGTCTGACCCATAACCCAGGGGCCTGATGGGGTGTGGGGGGGGAGTCCCTGAGAGGGTGCAAGGAGACCAGAAGTGAAGGCGGTGGGGGGTCAGGCGCACACACCAGCATCCACACGCATCACGCACACGCGTGCTCGCACACACCCGCACGCTCAGCCTCCTGCTTGCTGGCCGGGACAGAAGGGACCAGGCGGGCCAAGCTCTGCCCTGGACACAGCTGGCCAAGCTGCTCCGCGGTCCCCGCAGGCCTCCCGAGAGCCCGGCGCCCTGGCCCCTGCCTGGTCTGGGCTGGGAGGACGGAGGCCTGGCCCCGGGACGGCACGTTCCTCACCTTCGCCTCCAGCACGAGTGTCAGCCGGGAGCCCAGCGTGACCTCAGTGCCCAGACATTCCCAGGAGCTGCTGGGAGGATGATCCCAGAGCAGCGGGGACCTGGGCCCTTCCTGGAGGCAGCACGTGACCCCGAGTCACGACCTCAGGGAGCAGGAGCCTCCAGCGAGCACATTCCAGGCTGGGTCTCACCCAGGCTCCCGCACAGGGCCCCACAGAGCTCCCTTCCCTCCCCAACTCTGAGTCCCCACCCCTCCCTCTCTGGACCTCCATGCCTTGCTGAGACCCCCCATCTTCCACCCCAGCCCTCACCCCCTCTCTGAGCATCTGTCCCCACCCCCTGCCCCTACTCTCCCCAGTCTGAGCACCCAAATCCCCCCACGAGCTCCCACACCCCTGCTGAGCCCCCACCCTCCCCCATGCTGGACCCCCACCCCCTGCTGAGGCCCCTCAGTCCCCACGGAGAGTCCTGGAACTGGCAGGGGCCCGCCCTCCCTTCCTGAGCCCAGGCCCCCGTCCTCCTCCACGGGGCCTTCCCCGCCCCCCGCTGCAGTCACGGTTCCCACTTCCCAGTGTCCCTTGGGCTCCAAGATGCCTGGGGCAGCACTGGGGGAGCCTCTGGGTCCCCACTGAGGGGTTGGTGGCACCTGTAGGGGAAGTTGCCTGAGGCCAGCCTGTGGGGTGTCCCCGCCAGCTTTCCCACCAGGGTGGGCCCTGAACTCCCAGCCCACCAAGAGAGACACGCCCCAGGCCCGTGTGGGGCCCTCACGGTGGGGATGGGGCCATGGCACCGGGCCTGACCTGCCCTTGCATGGGGTCCGCTGGGCCTGCTGGGAGAGAGCTGCCTCCATGATGGGGGGAGCTGGAGGCTGGACGGCCTTGGGGTGCAGCTTGGTCTACACCAGGCCCTCAAGCCCATGGCAGAGTGTGCACTGCGGGTGCAGTCCAGGCCGCTGGCTGCTCCTCTAGGCCCCCCCGCACCCTCCATCCCAGCCCTGCTGGCCTCAGCCCCCAGACTCACCAGCTCCAGCCCTGGTCTTTGCACACACCAGTCCTGTAGTGTGCTATGGCGTGTGGACAGGGCACATGTGAGAGCGTGTGGCACTGAGGGGCATGTGAGCGTGTGACACAGGGACGTGTGTGTGAGTGTGTGACACTGAGCGGCGCATGTGTGGGCGTGACACAGGAGCGTGTGACACAGGCATGTGTGAGCATGTGGACAGGGCACATGTGAGAGAGCGTGTGACACAGGCGTGTGTGTGAGCATGTGGACAGGGCACATGTGAGAGAGCGTGTGGCACTGACGGGCGTGTGTGTGAGCGTGTGACACGGGCGTGTGTGTGTGTGTGACGGGCGTGTGTGAGCATGACATGGGCGTGTGTGGCACTGAGGGGCGTGTGAGCACGTGACACAGGTGTGTAAGCGTGAGACACTGAGGGGCGTGTGTGAGCGTGTGACACGGGTGTGCGTGTGAGCGTGTGACGGGTGTGTGTATGTGACACGGGCGTGTGTGTGCGTGACACTGAGGGGCGTGTGTGTGAGCGTGTGACACGGGCATGTGTGTGTGAGTGTGACATGGGCGTGTGTGAGCGTGACATGGGCGTGTCTGAGCGTGTGACACTGAGGGGCGTGTGTGTGTGAGCGTGTGACGGGCATGTGTGACACGGGCGTGTGAGCGTGTGACACGGAGGGGCGTGTGTGTGAGCGTGATGGGCGTGTGTGAGCGTGTGACACTGGGGCATGTGTGTGTACGCGTGTGACATGGAGGGGCATGTGTGTGTGACATGCACAGGACACTGGGGTGTGTGAGCATGACAGGCATGAGTGTGACATTGAGGGGCGTGTGACAGCGTGTGACACTGGCATGTGTGTGACACTGGGGCATAAGTGTGTGACACTGATGAGCGTGTGTGTGAGACAGGCATGTGTAAGCATGTGACGGGTGTGTGTGAGCATGCGACACAGAGGTGTGTGACACATGATGGGTGTGTGTGAGCGTGACAGGTGTGTGACATTGAGGGGCGTGTGAGCATGTGACAGGTACACATGCGTGTCAGCGTGTGACACTGAGAAGCGTGAGTGGACTCAGCCTCATGTGTTAGTGTTGGACATGGCTGTGTGTGACGGTGTGACACTGAGGGGTGTGTGGACACGGGGCACACATGTGAGTGTGGACCTGGCCATGTTGAGAGCAGGCGTGTGTGTGTGTGTGTGTGTGTGTGTGTGTGCGTGGATGAGGCAGGTCAGCACACGGGTGGGCTTGGGCAGTGAAGTGGCAGGAATGGCTGGGGGCAGACAGCAGTGACCCCAGGGCTGGGGCAGGCTGGGCTGAGGTTGTGGGGGGCTCGGGGAAGGTCTCTGCTGGGAGGCCCACCCAGGAGCTCAGGCCCCAGGGACCTGAACCTGGGTGGGCAGCTTCCAGAGGTTGCTCCGGGCTCCTGGGGCCGGAGGAAGAGAGGTTTAGTCCACACCCCAGCCCAGGCTGCTGAGGCCGTGCCGACCCCACCAGGCTCCGACCCTCACCCCTCACTCACTGCCCTCCAGCCACCTCTGCCTGGCCCACCAAGATGGGGACAAAGCCAGCCAATCCCTGCAGCCACACCCTCGGCTGGCACAACCCACAGGGTATAAATAGACCTGCCTGGGAGCCCACACCCGGCAACTCACACCTGCCTCCGACCAGAGCTCTGCCCTGCGCATTCCCTGTGCCCCGCCTGTCTGGGACGGAGAAGAAGCCACACCTGCCAGACCAGTGCCACCAGCACAGCTGCTGGTAGCCGGCCTGGGAGGGTTACCTGCCAGGTGGAGCACAGGCCGGCTGGAGGAGAGGAAGCAGACGCTGGGGGGCAGGGCGGCCCCAGGCCCTGGAGCCCCACTGTGGCCGGTGAGGACGACCATGCCCAAGACCCGCTGACCCGCAGCTGCCAGGTAAGGCCAGCTCAGCCCACGCTCACCCCTCACCTGCACAGGCTCAAGGTGGGGCTCCATCATGGAGGGGTGGGGCCTGGGCCAAGGAACCGGTTCTGTGGGGTGCTCAGGCCACAGAGGACACTCCCCAGGTCCCGGTGCCCGGGGCACTCACGACCTCACAGTGACGGTGCATGACTCAGGTGGTCACAGTGGACTGTGTCATCCCACCGGCCTGCCTGGGACTCACTGGCAAGTCAGGGGTGGGGCAGGGCAGTGCCAGGAGGCACGTCACAGGGACGCACAGTCAGCCCCTCGAGGCTCAGTCACCACTTGCCCCTTCCCTCCAGGTGGGACACCTGTGGCCTGAGCCACCAGGGCCAGACAGTCCCGTGGCTCCTTGTGGGGGAGCCTGGGTGCAGGGTGGGGCGGGAGGCAGAGCAGGACCCCAGGTCAGCTGAGATGCCCACCTGGGCCAGGTCAGGGGCAGAGTCACATCCCCACGGCCCTGCCATGAGATGGGAGTGGGTCAGGGAGAAGAAACACATCCTGCTTCCCGCTGGGTAGGTGGCGGAGGGTATCCCGACCGTCAGACAGGGGCTGGCCCAGAGGGAATGGCTGCGCTGGTCCAAGTCCCCACCCCCCGTGCCCATCAGACCCTCAGCAGCCAGACAGGCCGGCCCCGAAAGCCCCAGGCTGTGGCTGGCACGCACCTTCCTCAGGCACTGACCCGTGCCTGGGCCCTCCCTGTCTTCCCGAAGCCCGTGGGGCTCAGCTCAGCCCCCCAGACCCAGAGACCCCCACATCCTACCCTCACACAGCTGCCTGCCAATCAGGCCTGCACCACCCAAGCCAGGCACCCATCCTGGGATCCGAGTTCAAATTCACTTCACCTAACTTGGAGCCTGCCGCCTGCCTGAGAGCCACATCTGCTGGGGCCCAGGGGCTGCTGACTCCCTTGGGGTGGCCCTGGCTGAGTCTCCCATGCTCTGGGCAGCCTTTTCCACATTGTGGTGTGTGTGAGTCCCGTGACATGGACCATGTGGCATGTGTGAGTCCCGTGTCATGGGCCCTGTGGTGTGTGTGAGTCCCATGACGTGGGCTCTGTGGTGTGAGTCTCATGACGTGGACCCCGTGGCATCTGTGAGTCCCGTGACATGGACCCTGTGGCATCTGTGAGTCCCATAACGTGGGCCCTGTGGCATGTGTGTCCTGTGACGTGGGCCCTGTAGAGTGAGTCCCGTGACATGGACCCTGTGGCATCTGTGAGTCCCGTGACGTGGACCCTGTGGCATGTGTGTCCCGTGATGTGGGCCCTGTAGAGTGAGTCCCGTGATATGGACCCTGTGGCATCTGTGAGTCCCATGATGTGGACCCTGTGGCATCTGTGAGTCCCGTGACATGGGCCTTGTGGCGTGAGGCCCGTGACATGGGCGCAGACTTGCATAAACAGTGGTGACTGTAGCCCGTCGTCCTTACCATGATTTCCGCCCAGGCAGCAGGGCCAGGCGGGGCAAGGCCAGCAAGAAGCGCCCGCTGAGTGGTCAATGAGACCCCCGTGCATGTGGCCGGCATTCCCGGGGTGGGCTCACCACTGCAGCAGCCGTGTGATGACAGGTGGCGAGGGCTGGATCACGCTTGGGGCAGAATGACCTCCTGGGGCACCGGAGGAACTTTCTCTAGGAGTGCAGGGGGAGCAGAGCCCTTCCCTGGGATCTCCGGGGCTGGTGCTGGGCAAAAGAGGAGAGGGGAAGACAGAAGACCACCAGAAGGGGGGGCCTGTGGTTGCTCACCACCATCTCTGTCCCACAGCTCAGAGACGTGTCCTCAGGCCAGCAAATGTGGCACAAGGCTGTGCCACCCCCTTGCCGGAGCAGCTCCACAGCCTCCATGCCCCGATCCCCCAGCTCGGCCGGTAGCCCCCGGTCCCCTGGCACCCCTGGCTCGGAGAAAGTGGCCTCCCCCCTGGAGTGCTCCATCTGCTTCTCAGGCTATGACAACATCTTCAAGACACCCAAGGAGCTCTCCTGCACCCACGTCTTCTGCCTGGAGTGCCTGGCCCGGCTGGTGGCTGCTCAGCCCGAGGGCGGCCCCGGCAGTGAAGCTGTGCCTTGCCCCTTCTGCAGGCAGCCCACGGCCGTGCCGCCCGCCGGAGCCCCCGCTCTGCGCACCAGCCGCCAGCTGCAGGCCCGGATGCCAGCGCATCTGCGGCGCGAGGAGCCCGTGTGGCTGGAGGGCACCAAGCTGTGCTGCCAGCCGCCGCCTGCCACGCCTGGCCACAAGCCTGGCTTTGTATGTGTGGACGTGGGCCTGAGCAAGCCCGCCGAGCCCCCTGAACCCATGCCCGCCCAGGACCCTGGCCCCCGCCGGGGCCGCCTGACCCGCTGCTGGGCGCGCTGCAGGGACTGGAGGCGCATGGCACTGGTCTCCGCCCTGCTGCTGGTGCTCTTCTGCGTGGCGCTCTGGCCGGTGCAGTGCGCCCTCAAGACGGGGAACCTACGCTGCCTGCCCCCGGCCTCCCAGCCCTCCACCACCATGGCCGCCTTCCCCCTCGGGCCTCTGACTGGCAACTAGGATCACCAGCCTTGCCCAGGTCAGTCATGAGTGGGTCCCCCACTAGGGTCTCAAGGGCGCAGCAGCCACTGAAGTCGGTCCCTGAGGACCCGAAAGGAGCCCAGCATGTCTGGGGATTCCACTTGGGCCCCACCAAGTTCAGGCTCCATTTAGCTTGTTCACCCCTCACTCTGCAGGCTGGGCCCTGACAGGGTGGATGAGAGGGTCTCCAAAGCATCCCAGAACCACAGGCTCCCACAGGCTGCAGAGACCACCCGCAGCTCCTGTTACGCAGATGGGGAAGGGCCCAGGAGGGAAGCTGGCCAGCACCCCTCCATCCATGCACACAGAATCGCCTGCCAGGGAAGGGAGGGAGGGGCGTGCCATGACCCACCTCACGCTCACGCTTCACCCCCGGGTCCTCCCCAGGCCTTCTTCAGGCAGGGCTGGTCCCTGCCATTGGGTGGGGGTGCTAGTCTTGCCCTCTGACTGGGGGGACGGGGGGGCAGGGCAGCCCCCCAGTGCAAGATAACCACGGAAACTTCCAGCTGTCCCTCCAACCCTTGTGAATTGTAGATTTTTAAATAAATTATTTGTATCCATCTTTAAGAGGGCCTCACTCTGTGTGCCCCTGCCCCAGCCTCAACCGAGATTAGACCCCAACGGGATCAGACTCCCAGCAGCCACTGGGACAGGTGGGCCCAAGGTTCTAGGGGATCCAGCTCCCAGCCCCTCTGGCTGCAGACAGGTGGTGGGTTTCTGGAGTTGGCTGGTGCCTCAGCAGTGTGAGGCTCCCCACGGAGATGGGGAGAGCCCGGGGCACCTAGGGCAGGCAAGGCAGGACCAGGGGGAGGGCTTCAGCTCAGCCCAGAGCCCAGTGGCTGACAAAGGGAGCCTTTCTCTTCCCCCATCCCCCACCATGGCCATACTAGACTGCACCTCGAGGAAGTCATGCCCCATGGCCCTGCTAGGGTCCCTGACTAGAGAACCCCAGAACCTGTGACCCCTGTGGGAACCCAAGCATAAGGGTCCCCAGAAGCAGAGGTAGGAACAGCCAGCGTCCAGCCTCCAGATCCGCAGACGTGCGGCCCCCACAGACCCTCTGGCCCTTCCAGGGCCAGCCTCGCTAGAGAAGAGTCAGAATGTAGCTTCACGAGGGCTGGGCAGGAAGCTCGCCAACCCCGGCCCTACCTCGTCTGCCACTAGCCCCGGGAATCCCGCACACCAGGCCAGCTCAGGCTCACGCAGGTCTCACACCCCTGACCCCAGAGCCCAGGGACTTCCTGCTCCAACCAGCTGGGCCTCTGGCTGGGGTGGGGAGGGGCTCCGGAAAGCCCCACAGAAGCTGAGTGCCGCTCTGTGGGCCCACACCCACCCTTGCCCCAGGCCCCAACGAAGACACAGAATGGAGAACACAGCACTTTACTGGAAGGCAGCAAAGCCACAGGCCACCAGGTGATGTGGGGCGTGCAAGCACGGGCCACGGCAGTGACGTCACTCTGTGACCCACAGGCAGTTAAGCACACACAGACCCACACCCTTGTCACCGGCAGGGCCAGACGCATGACGCTGCGCAGGCGGTCACAGGAGCATGTCACACACACCTCACTCGACAAGCATCCACCCTGTGACTGATGGGGCCAAATCTCCACCGGGGCCACGTCCCAGACCACGGGGGCAGGCAGGGCCCGCAGACCGGTGTCCTGGCCGCTCAGACCCGCACTGAGTGCTGAGCTAGTGGTGCACACGAGTTCACACGCGGTCACCCGTGGGCTTCGCAGCCGCCACTCCCTCTGCCGCCCCTGGGCCTCCATGAGGGGGGACGAGCTGTGGCTCTGTCCTGGACGCAGTCCCGACCCGCAGCTCCCGCCCCATGCGGGCGCGGACAGGCCGGGCGCTCCTCAAGCACCCGCCGCTCCGCAGGTTCGCGTCCTCGGGTCCCAGGGCTTCCGCCTCCTGCGCGCGGAGCAGCTCAGCCCTGCGCCCCGCACACCCCTAGTCCCTCCCAGAGGACCGCGGCCCGTTCCCGACGCCCCACTCACACGCGGGCGCCCTTGGAGACGCTGGCCGGGGGCTGCAACCCTATTCGCGGGGGGGCGGCGCCCACGTTTTGGTTCTCGCGCTCGGGCAGGGGGAGGGGCCGCCGGTCACCATGACGACGCCCGCGCAGCCCCGCCCCGCGCAGGCCACGCCCCCACCTGCTCGCGCAGGCGCAGTTGCTCGCCCTGGATGTACCGCTGCAGCGCCAGGTACACGAACTTGTACTGCGCCTCTGTCTGCACCATCCCGGAGCGCTGCCGCCGAACCAGCTGCGTCGTCTTCGCAACGTCCATGTCGCAGTCCAGCCTTCGGGACATGCGCGCTCAGGGCGGGGCTACGGCTGAGGGGCGGGGCCTGCATGCAGGGGCGGGGCTATGGCTAGGAACGGGGCCTGCGTGCAGAGGCGGGGCTACGGCGGAGGGGCGGGGCCTGCATGCAGAGGCGGGGCTACGGCTGAGGGGCGGGGCCTTGTGCAGGGGCGGGGCTGCGGCTGAGGGGCGGGACCTGTATGCAGGGGCGGGGCTACAGCTGAGGGGCGGGGTCAGTGGCAGGGGCGGGGCTACGGCTGAGGGGCGGGGTCGGCGGGCAGGGGCGGGGTCGGCGGGCAGGGGTGGGGTCGTCCTGAAGGGTGGGGCTACAGCAGGGCCGGGGAGGGGCGCTCCCGGGGAGGAGCGGCTCACCCTCCCTGCGGGTGACGTCCACCAGGATGCCAATCACGGTGATAGTGCCGGTGAGTCCGGGCCGCGCTGAGAACAAACCAGGCGGCCTTTGATGAGCGGGGGGCGGGGCGGGGCCGGGCCGCCCCACCCCACCCCACCCGAGGGCTCCGCCCGCAACGTCCCGCGTGGCCCCGCCGCCCCCGCACCTGCACAGCCCGCGTGGCCCCGCCGCCCCCGCACCTGCACAGCCCGCGTGGCCCCGCCGCCCCCGCACCTGCACAGCCCGCGTGGCCCCGCCGCACCTGCAGTCCACCACCACGGGCCGGCCCCGGCTCGCTGCTCCGGGCCCAGCTCCCCTCGGCCAGGAAGCCGAGGACGCCGTGGTCCAGCCAGCTGAAGTACTGGAGGTGCTGCACGGTGCGCGGTGGCTCCTCCTGGGCGGGGCGGGCGGTCAGTGCGACCCCCGGGTGGGAGGGGTTGGAGGGGAGAGGCTGAGGCACAACAGGGTTTGTCTGGAGTGCCCAGGTGGAGGGGCTGCGGGGGCCAAGGCGATCAGGAGGAGGGAGGAAATGGGGAGGGGGCCGCCGAGATGGCCCCGGTGGCTCAGGTACCTGGAGAAGGGAAGAGGGAGCTGGACGGGGAAAGCAGGCTGTGGGGACAGTGATTCTGTAAGGAAGAACCAACTGTGACGGCTCCATGGGGAAACCCCCACCGGGCGGGGGCTGAGGGGAGAAGGAGGTAACCTACCCGGGACAGAAGTGGGCGCCGCTGGTATACAACAGAGACCAAAGCTGCAGTTTGAAAAGGTGTATGTGAGGAGCAGCCGCTCGCCCACGACGGAGAATGTGGCCACCCCAGTGACCCGCGCCCAGGCCTGGGGTATGCCTTCTGGGTTGAAGGATATGGAGGCCCCCCGAAGGAAGTGGGGTTAGATGCAGCCAGGTGTTGGGGTCTCCCAGTGCAGGCCCACAGCGGGCACACTCCACGGCTACCAGGCTCACCAGCCCGGCAGCCAGACCTGCAGCTCCCACACAGTTGCCCTTGGCCTGGCAGTTCCCAGGTTACGCACACGCACCCGGCCAGACTCCTGGCTGCCATGCAGCTCGGGCCAGTACTGGAAACACTTGTTCTGGGGAGAATGTTTTGCATCAGCCTCCCCGGCACCCCACCCTGCACCTCCCCCAGCCCCGTGCCCTGCAGAGACACAGGCATGTGCCTGCAGCCACGGGGTTCTCTGGGACCCTCCCCAGTCCCATGGCTTCCCACAGGCTCCTTGGCCTGGTCGGGAAGGGCCTCAGGCAACTGAATTGCGCAGGGTAGGATGGGCACTTGCTTGCCCATGGGCACCTCGCCCCTACCCGGCCTCGCTCCACCTCCCTGGTGGTCATGAAGATGACGCGTGTTCTCCTGGTGCACCATGGCCCAGAAAGCGGCTACCATGGCCTGCAGACAGCCCTGCCTGGCAATGTACACCCTGGCCACGCCAAGGCCTGGCTTCTCCTCAGGGTCAGTCTGAAAAGGGGTGAGGTCAACTGCCACTGGTTCCAGAGGACAAACTAGTTCATGCAAATGCTATAACGAATGATATGCAAAGGAGCCCTGGTGGCTCACACGTCTCACTCCAGGCCCGCAAGGGGCTAAGGACCAATGCCTATCCAGCCTCTCTGAGGCCCCTTGCAGACTGCCGCCCACCGCCTCCCTGGACACCCTAGTTCTTCCTGAGCCCCCCCGGGAACCATGAGTCCAGGCCCACCTCCCGCACACACCCACCCTGATGTACCTGGCATTGACATGATCAGTTCCAGGCCTGCTGTCATCACGTCAAGGTGGTGTCAGCTGGGAAGGGAGATGCCTCTCAGGTCTCCAGGGTGGAGCTCATGGGCCTCACCCTTCCTCTTTGCCCACAGACCTGTGGAAAGCAGAGATAGGGGGTCCAGGATGTGCAAGAGGGAGGCTCAGGTCAGTGGTGGTAGAGGCACAGCCTCCCCCTACCTCCCCTAGGCCCGACGGATGAAGCCCTGACCTCTGCCCTCACAGGGAAGGGTGCTCTTGTAGCGATTCTTGGGCTTGTTCTCCACCCACTGTCCCTCCTTCAGGGGTACAGGAACCCACATTCCTTCTGCTGCAGCATCTGAATGTGACGGAGCCTTCAGCCTACGGCCCCAGCCTGTCCCCAGACCCTAGATGGCCACCCCAGCCCTAGATGCCCACTCCCCGAGCCCATCCCAGATCCTAGATGCCCATTCCAGCCCTATATGCCAGTCCCCAGACCTTAGATGCCCACCCCAGCCCTAGATGCCTGTCACCAGACTCTAGATGCCCACCCCAGCCCATGCCAGATCCTAGATGCCCACCCCAGCCCTAGATGCCCATCCCCAGCCCTAGATGCCCACCCCAGCCCTAGATGCCCACTCCAGCACTAGATGCCCACTCCAGCCCTAGATGCCCACCCCAGCCCATCCTGGACCCTAGATGCCCACCCCGAGCCTGTCCTGGACCCTGTGCTCCTCTCAGGCACTTGCCCCAGCCCCAGGGAACAGAGTCTGAGGGTGGCAGCCATCAGGGCACACCTCGAACTCCTCCCAGAAGCCCTTCCTGGCCTCTCCGCTGGCATCGGTGGTCCTGCTGAGCTCCTGCACATGGCTCTCGAGGCTCCAAGCGCTGATCCTCGTGGCTTTGAGGGGCTGCCACAGAGAGGCCCATGTCCAAGCTGTGGGGGACCCAGGGCCCTGAGGACCCCAGCACACACCCCCAGGGCCCAGTGGAGCCCACCACACCCCCCCGGCCCTGAAGGCCCCAACATACCACTCCTGAGGGCAGCTGCCCCAGCCCCCACACCCCTCCACCTACCCCCCTGCCCCGGGCCCCACACTCTCATCAGACCACGGAAGTCACCATCATGCGGAC